TATTACGATAAAGAAATCAGGCTTATGGCGAGCTCCATTATAAAGAAAAAGAAAAAGATAAGATATATCAGATTGGTTAAAAAATAAATAGGGTTGACTAGAACGCCACTTCGTATCGAATCCTAAATCCTAAATTAATACCAACGCTCTACAACTAGCCCAAGTCACCCCCCCTCAATATCCAAAGACCGTCCATCTTCCCCTCGCCAATACCCTCATAAACCAACCCCTTGCCCTTCTCATTCAATTTACCGTCACCATTTTCCAACTCGTCCCCCCATAGGTCAACCACCTTCCCCTCAGCAAAGACCTCGTCAACCAGGCCCTTGCCCTTCTCATTCGATTTGCCGCCGACATTTTACAACTCCTGCCCGAAAATCTCTATATATACGAGGTTTATTTTAAATCCTAAAATCCTAAAATTTCCATACTACCCTAAAATCCTAGTATTTTCAACTAACAACAATAAAATCAATGTTTAAATTAATGCTAAAATATTCGGATTTTATAAAATTAATGCTAAAATATTCGGATTTTATAATTTTACGATTTTAAAGTAGCGTTAAAATCTTACGATTTTAAATTTTAAGATTCTAAAATTTTGTGCAATGTATTACGTAATGTTTGTATTTATTATCATCTAGTTTCCACCCAAGAGGTATCCATTAATCATTGTTTCCTTTCTTATATATTAATACCCCCATAATTCCTTCAACCAAAAATATTCTAAAATCTATACCCAAAAAGCAATATCAAAATATACATAATTCATCATAAATACCGCTAAAAAATACAAAAAAAGAGTTTCGGAGGAGGGGATTACCATATATATATATCAAAAAAACAAATATATATATAATATATAACAAGCAGAAAAATATATACATAAAAAAAAATATATATATATATACAAGGGTCGGCCCGCTATTTCCAACAGCGGAAAAATACGATCCTCAAAATTCGAAACCAATAGATCAACAAATGAACAAACTAAGAAACCGACAAACCACGGACCTCTTTTTCCTTCTTGGCCGTCAGTAGGGAACATGGGTCTGCCTTCCATTCATCGCATCAATGATTTTCATGCAACAACAAAGCACATTCTCTGTGACCGGCCACGACAGCGGCACTCGCTGCCGCCCGGTTCTGTTGCAGACCTCATCGATCACTTTCAGCAAGTTCCTTGTCACCTGCAGCAGCCTTTGTGGCGGATGGCGAGCAGGACACAGGTCAATGCCACAAATCGCAGAGCGTTGCGCCAGAACTGGCAGAAAGCGGACAGCCACCCACTGCAGGTAGTCCAGGCACTGGTCTATAGGTTTTCAAGAATTGTCTCAAGTGCCAAAGCCGCCATCCACCCAAAGTTCGCCGATCCTGTCCAGCAGTACCTTCATATTGAGGCCCTAATCCGGAAACAAATACATAGGCACTGCTACAGTTGCTCCTGACTATTTTGTCAAACTTTCCCGGCTGATCCGTTGCCATGCAGCCGAGTTGCTGAAAAGCCCAAAGCGTGAAAGGGACGTCAGCCGTTGTAATTGACCGCATTCCAAGCCATGGACCGATTCACCGATGCTCTGCAACACGGCCCGAGCGTCGACAAATATCCCACCGTTGAAGTTCTGCTCTGAAGGACCGAAGTCATCGTCGTCACCATCAGGCTCGTGTGCAATGTCTGGCATCTCATCTGCTGGCTCGAGATGCTCTGCATACGGATTCCGAGGAAAACCTGCCGTCTGTCTCCACACCATGTCCGAGTCGATCGTGGCCAGATATGCGATGCACCAAGCCGGCGTTGTCCATGCCGATGTGTCATGTAGGCGGTCGCGCAGCAAGCGACAGATGCCACGGCCACCCGTAAGCACCGTATATGCACAAGCCAGTGTCAGCATAGAACCGCACAGTTCGACGGTCTCCCAGTGATGATCGTGAATCAAGATTCTGGAGGTCAAAGTCAGCAGCGCAGTGGCAACATACCGCATGCGATGCGAGTGCGACCCGCCAAGATGCCTGCAGCCAGCCAACGGCGGGCACGGCAGCAGGGGTGACAGGACGCCCAGAAATCATTCCAAACCAACACATATCCATTCAGAATCCAACCCGAATCCATCCAGAATTACGCTAAGCTCGGTCCCTTGTTCGAGAGGTCTGAGGCACCATGCCGATAGCATATTCCTAAATATAGTGTGCAAGTATACCATACAGATCATAATATTTTAGCATATATTTGAGAGAGGAGGGGTGAACGAAAGGTAGCAGGCAAATCACAAGTAACCCTGGTAGAAGTCCATGACGGCATGAACCGGCGCAGGGGGGATTTGATCCAGGGATGGGGGGGTCCCCCCCCCGACGAACAGAATCAACTCTTACAGGACCAAATTCAATGCACAATCCCAACTCCTGATTGTAATACATTTTTGCTAAAGCAAGGAGAATTCAGGTAGTTGAAGCTACCTTTCGTGATTTGATAAGCAATTGGATCGTATGTTTTCAGTTGGGCCCTCCTTGGGCCCTCCTTGGGCCCTCCTACAAGGGCAAGAAAGCAATCTCCCTGGGCTTTAACTTCGCCTTCCAACTTGGCCGCAAAACTCGTGGACAAACCCATGGTAAAAACCAGGAAGGCAAACAACAAACAGCACAAACGATCGGGAGAAAAAGCTCCGATTTTCCAGACCATAAGAACCGAAAATGTTTGCATTACTTTCGGAATTTTGGAAAATAAAATTAATATCGCGAATATATACCGTGCCTAGCATTATTTCAGCTATTTATGACTTCAAAATTGTGACCGCCGGAAATAGCTGCGCCTCTCCCGGGCCACACGCAAAAGGCAAAATGATTGCAAAAACAGAATTGCTGTAGTAAAAAACTAAATTAAAGCATTATCAATTTTAAACAAATCCAATTCGTGTTTACAAAGAAATTTCTTTCTTTTCATAAAAATGTCATAATGCTTCTGTGCAAGAAATTGTCTTCAATTTACATATAATATTTTATGAATATTTTATGATGTTCATAAAAAGGGTTATATAATTTAAAAATGCTAATTTATATCTTTTTTTAACGTAGCAAAAAACAATTCGAACAGAAAATCATTCAAAATATAAAACAAATAACCGACACAATCATAACAAACCAAAATAAATAATACATATATCAAAAAATATAATTCGAAAATAAATTAATGTAATATTACAAAATAAATACAAAATCTTTTAAAAATTTTATCAATGCAATACAAGCATATATTTTCTTTTATTATAAATATTAAAATAAATATTATAATAATATCTTATTCCTATATATTCGTGTTCGAATATTATAACGAAAAATACATCCAAAAATCATTCCATAAATCCATAAAAACGAAATAAAAATAAAAACCCAAAATCGATCGTTACGAACAAATTCGAAATAAATCAAAACTATCTATAATTAATCATACGAAATTCGAACCCGCGACCGACGATATCGGGACGTAACGGAATTACTTAATAATACATATCCCAAAACGAAAATAGAATATATTAAATAATAGAATTATTTCTTAAATTTCAAAATCGACATATATAAAATAATCCAATTACTTAAAGAAAATCCGAATCGCGACGAAAACCATAAATCAACTATAAAAGAGCCGAAACTAAAAACGAAAAAACGAAAATATAAAAAAGAGTCCGATTATTTCGATCATTTTACTTCAGAAATCCGCATATTTTTATTCAATCGTACCCCAATCCGTAATAACAATAATAACAATAATATATACAAATATATTCACTTTAAAATATATATTCTTTTTCAAAATATAAATAGTAAATTACAATATATATTTTAAATGTATATAATTTAAGTATATCATATTTAAAAATATATTATAATTATATATTTTTTCTTTTTTTCAACGTAAGGTCCTTCGAGAATATGTGATAAAAGGTTGAGGATATGATTGAATATGGATGTCATTGTTGAGAGGAATTTGTTCTAAGAATCAGGTGTTATGTATATGTTCAATATAATTCAGAAAATCCAACACTTTGATGCGATGCGGTTATAGTTTTTGAGGAGCCTATGGCTTTCTGCAGGTTGTCGCTTTCTGAAATTCATGATTGTTCTTTATTGAATTGGTCACGTACGTTTTGGCTAATCCCAAAAACCCGACTAGATGAGGCATTGCGTGATTGTCCAAAATGATACAAATCAATTGAAAGAACCCCCTAAAAGAATAGGTTGATAGATCCATTTCGCTTGAGGACAAGATTATACAACACCCAAATTAGGTTAGTCTCCAGGCCAAATGGTCAAACTAGCTTCTCGCCAAATGTGCCAAAGAACATCCTGATTAACGATGTTACACAGTGTGCAGTGGTGAGATCTCCAAGTATCCAGAGCGAGAATTCCATTCCTCTTCCAACATATATTGGAATCCGTTTCTATTTCAAACTGCTTCTTTCCCAATTCGAACCGCTTTGAGGGATGAGTTTCCTCCGGTCTCCAGCTTCCGTTTCGTGTTTTTGCCCCAGCTGTTTCAGGTCCACCAGCACTGCGGTCTCCTGAGCTTCTCCAGCACCTCCGCCTGCTTCTGCAGTCCATGCACAGAGCGGTTGTCGGCCACCTGAGCCATCGAAAAGGTTGGCATAGGTTGGCCACATGCCAGGCAGCGATGCCAGGAATGCAAGCGTTTGTGGAATGCACCCAAGGTCAAAAACCGTCCGAGCTAAACAACGGTCCAAGACGCCTCAAGCTTGGAATGCAACTGGCTCACTTGCTGCCTCAAACGGTTGATCTCCGCCAAGTTCCGGCGGTTGTCCTGGCGAGAAAACTTGGCGGAGCACGACGTTTTGGTTCAAACGGGTTCGAGGCGGGAGGGCGAAGGATGAACGGGGAAACATCGGGTCTGGGAGGTCTGGGAGGTCTGGGAGGTGTGGGAAGGGAATGTAACAGTCTACATGCACTATAGTCACTAGCAGAGAAGGGTCTGCAGATGTCTGCAGGCAAAGAACTGTACGTCGCAATATGTTACAATGGTATTGTGGTCCCAAAATACCAAGCAGCATGACTAGATCCGTAACATGTCTTGTCGTGTTATGCGTGTGAAGCTCATCGGACAAGTTCAATTGCCGTCCATTCCCCACAAGGCCTCAACTTGCTCACAGGGAGAACACTCAGACTGTAGCTTACTGTGGCCTACTTTTTTGTATTGCGTCAGTCTCTTTCCTTTCCCCAGTCTGTATGAGAACAAACCGATCTTGGGCCCTGAAACCACTTCCGTTCCGGCCTCCATCAAGGCGTTCTGCTGTTCATCCAGCTGTTTGCACCGTGTGGCCACGTGGCAGGCCAAAAGCTGAGACAGCCGACAGCGGGGCAGGGAACGACGAAGGGGATAACTGTGTGCACTGAATTCAAAAAGAAAAAAAACTCGCCGCTCCCAACGGCTTCCTAGGGGGGAAGCCTCGTAAGCTCTCATTAAACAGCAGATCTCTTTGATCCCCATGTTGACATTGGCACAAGATGCTCCTAGCATCTCCGACCCATACTGCTGGTCTTGTCAATGATTGTCAATGCACCAGCAAATTATTTTGGAAGTACCAGGAATCTGTTCCATACAGTCTTGGATAGTCTTGGGTCCCAACGTCGTCTTCTTAGGTATAAGGTTGGAGGCCATTACTACTAGTAAGATCTAGTAACAAGAAGCTATGTACTAGTAGCTAGAAACTCTTAAGTTGGAGGCCATTACTATTTTCGGACAGAAGTGGAGCTGAAGAGCTCGTTTCAACCTCCGCAGCCCGTTCGTTTCGCTCGGCCACGCGCCTGTGGGGGAGCCCATGGAGTGAGCCTCAGCTCTAAATGCCCTCTTCCCCGGGGGGAGCGGGTGGAGGTCCATAGAGCATCATGGAGCCAATATGAGCCGTGGAGGCGTGAAAATCTCCCATGCGATAGAACAAGACGGACATAGATGGGCTCAACAAGTTCCAAATGATGCGATTTCGTCCGCGTCAACGGCCCCCCTTCATGCCGAGAAATCGATGGAAGTCCATCGGCCGGTTCCAGTCCAAGTTTGGGGACCCCATTCACCGCAGTTGGAAGGCAGTGACCCCAGCCAAGTCATCCAGGTAAACTGATGAATCGTAACCTGGGGAATGGAAACTCTGTGTCAGTGGGCACACTAAGACAAAGGAACCTATCTCCTCGCAGCAAAAACCTGTCTTTGAGTCTCTGGATTGGTGCAACAGGTGTCATCTGCGCTTTTGAGCAAGAGCTGCAAGCTTAACAATCGCCAACACATTGCATGTAGTGTCATGAACTCCGACCCTCGTGCAAATGAGTTTTTTGCTGGCTTTCCTCGGCAATCCCTCTCTTTTCATCAGAGGCCTCAGGGAAAGGTCGTTGGAGGGCTTGGATGGCTATTTCGGCTCAATAGATCTGGATCCCCAAGTCGAAAACATTTTGGTGACCGACCGAGCTGGGAGGTCTGTCTAGGGCGCAGGCAGCTCTTTTAGCTGTAGCCTCCAAAACTGCAAGTCCGCAAACATCTCAGTGCGCGGGTGCATTGAGATTGTGTACATGAGGATGTCCAAGAAGGGCATGGAGTGGAGTAGAAGGCATTCTTTGAACGGTCCGGGCCAGGGGTGAAATGGCGGCCATGCGCCACTTCAAATGGAGGCCCTTGTTACCGGCGATGCCAGGTTCGCCCCGTGACGGAAGCGTCCGATCGTTCCTTGGGCATATGATTTCATGAGAACCAAGGACGTTTCTCCCAACCTTCAGCCACCTGAGAACCTCCAGCCACCTGAGAACGTTTGTCACTCGAGAAACTCGCTCGCCTCTTCGTGTCTTTCACTCGTCGAATTTGACGAAGCCGCTCTGACCTGTTGAACCCAACACAACTCAACCTGAAAACCGTACACAACTACAATCCTTGATCTTTGACAATTGGTGACGGGTTCCTTTGATGACAAAACCTTTTGAACAAGGCTTGACCCAACCCTGTTGCCTGCCTTCCATCCAGCCAACGCCTCAAAAAAGGCAATAGGGGAACGGTCCAGAACAGGTCAAACAATCGACGCTCCGAGTTTCGGATCTGGGGAGACACTGGGCGTTTCGGGGGTGTCGGTCGTTTCTTCTCCTCAACGGCGCTGGGCCTTCACACTTGGAAGAGCGACTCTTCATCGGTGACCCACTTGCAAGTCTCCCAGTCTGAGAGCGCCAGAGCGCAGGTCTAACCGCGCGGGTTCGAAGGGCGCGGGTCGAGCAGCATCCTACTTGGAATTGTAATTTTTGGAAAAAAGAGTTGGCTCCTACTTGCGCAGTGTGAGCATGTATGGACATGGGGTCAGCTGGTTCACATCAAATGACATGAGTTGAGCAAATACAGCAAAAAAAGTTCCAAATTATCCAAAGTATACATTCAACACGCGCTTCTCATTCAAAATTGATCGCATTTTCATGTCACATGTTCAGTTGAAATAGACAAATAGTCACACACACACACACACACACGCAACGCATATTATACAATATACAAGAATGGAACTCCCCTCCTTTGTTTCCGCTTGTCTTTGCTGGGTCCTTCCCTTCATGCGCCGTCGCAAGTACTTCACGTACCAATCTGGCCTCTTCAACAGTGTGTGCGCATTTGCGTGCGTTTTCCCTGGCGTCTTCCCTTCCAACAAACCAAACATTGCAAACTGGGCCAAAAGCCGCAATTCCCTCTCTCTCCTCCTCTGCCGGGCGCCCGCGCCAGAACCCAAGGCCATTTCGACGGCCTGCGCTTTGTCTTGGTGCAGGGAGCGCCAACAAATGCAGAGGAAGTTGAAGGCCTCCACACGGAAGTCAGGAAAGCGGCGGTGGGAAGGCCAATAGAGGCTGGGGCAACAAAGGTGCCAGCCTTCAGAAGCCATGGTTTGCAAATTCTGAGGTTGGAGATAATGGTTGCCGAAACAGGCTTTGCGAAATGCCTTTTCCGAACCGGACTACCCGCATTATTTACAGAAGTCCCATGCAAAACAATTCCATGACCCTTGTCCAAATGCCTTTTTGGAACAACACTGTCCGTGCTACATTTGTCGGGACCCCATGCACAATTCCGCGACCCTTCTTTAAAAAAAACATCGTTTTGGTCGGCCTGGGGTGTTCATCCCACGTGCCGGAATGCCGTCATGTTCATCCTCTCTTCGGCCCTGTTCCGAAAATGACCCGGATTTTCTCCACATGTTTCTGGAACATGTTTTTCTGGTTCGCAAGGTCGTCGCACCCATGTCTCTTAATCACAACACATACGGTTTCAAAAACACCGCTTCAAAAGCTCTATCTCCCAAAGTGGTATATCACTGAACCTCACAATAGCAACCCAAAACAATCTCTTTGTTCCTATCTAAACTTGCAAATTTCCCGAACTACATGGTGTTGCTCTCTTTTCTGCACTCTTGTTGAGAGTTTCGCGCACTAAGTTCTTTTCCCTGTATCTAAACAATCGCGTGAGAAATGTCCGTGATAACGACACCATAAGTTATATAAGGGCAAACAGCAATCACTCTTGAATTGGGGCCAACCTGTGCATCTTACAGCACCCTTCTCATTTCTCACCCCTTGCCACATTTTCGTGCAATGTTCACATATTGTGTGCAGTTTCTGAGCTACCGGGCTACCTTTCTGGCTGCCTGCTTCCTTTCAAAACTTCTTTAGCAAGGAAGCGTCGCCAATTTTCAGGTTCGCATTGTAGCTTGCAGCGAAGCATAAAAGCCCGGAAAGGCTTTGGGCAAGAATATTTGTCCGTTCAACTTTAGACTGTGGACCCGGCATTCGGCTTGTTGCAAGCAAGAAAACCCACAAAGAAAGCCAAGTTAAGCATTTCCTTTTACACCATCTACTTTGCGGCCAATGCGCCTGTGTGGTTCAAGAACGCATGACTGGCCCTAGGTGGCTTGGAATAGAAAGCCAAAAACAATCGCGTCCACCAGCATTTTGCCCGGGAATGAAACTCGATCCAAACTGTAACGCTCCACTTGTCTTGTGGAAGGGAGAAAAGGTCCAACTCCCGGATGGTGAGCACTTCTCCGTGCGCAGATCTGACCAGCCAATGAAACAACATGAAACAACTTGTATGGAGCCTGGTTTCACAAACTCAACACCCCCC